TCATTCACTACGACAACCGGCGACAATTCTCCGATGTCAGTCAAATAAATAAACTTAACTCTGCTGATTTTCCTGTGTGTGAGGGCGGCTGGTATTTCTTCCCCTTTAAGATACGGCAACATGTGCATAGTCATGTGACTTTAGCGAACAAGTCAGATCTCACATTGGAGAAATTTACCTCTGCATTTGACCCATCCCTTTGGGGAGAAGTGAGGTGCCATCGTGGGGCGCCCGGGAGCAATCGGGGGTTTAAGGCTGATTTATACTTCGAAAACCTTTGAAAAACTGCGTAGGTGTCGCAGTGAGCAAAAAGCCGACCCCTCCCCAGGCACTCCGCTGCACCTCTCCCAATTTGTGACTGACCGCAGACCGTGGCGCAGACAAGAGGCCAGCTTGTTTTGTTTTTATGACCGAAATTGCGGAAAATGACTCGTGAAGTCAGCTAGAAGAGCGAAGTGTGCGAGAACGCTGGGACCCTTTTTCCACCTGGATCCCCGTTCTTTTTCGCTGTCATGTCCCTCCATTGTCAGACTAAACTCGCCCCCACTTCGTCATCGCCTCGGCCGTATCTAGACCCACAGCGTATAGCGCAGACCACGCTTCAATAGTGGGCATAAATCAAAAATGTCTGCGTCAGGCTCACTGCGACACACTGCTGCAGGATTATAACCAGCCCTTAAGGGTCTTGCTCAGAGACCCGCCACTCCCCTTCACTCCCAGTAAATAAGCGTCTAAACACAGCTGTAAACGCAATTACATCAGTTAATAATGTGGAGCTGAGTGAGAGCAGAGATGAAGCTGAGTGTGCAGAGAAGAAATCAAAAGCACGTTGTCAGAGTTGAGTGTGCGGCAGACAGGTTTTGAGTGAGGGTGTGCGAGTTTACACGGTGCACATTGTTCTCACTGCACACTCAGTTCGGTGGCAACAAATTTAGGCCATAAATGTTGAGCAAAAAAACACCAAATGCAAACTTTGTCTGAAAACTGTAAAGACTACCCAAAGTAACACATCCAACCTCCACCACCTACAGCACAACCACACTGTTGAGTTCAAAGTAGGGATGCACAAAAAATCGGCCCCCTATCGGTATCAGCTTAAAACTGAATATCAGACATCGGCCACCCCACCGATATTTAACCCGATATTTGATCAGCTTCTGAGTTTCTAAAGGCTAAAAAAAATTAAAAATACTACTTCTTCTTCTTCCTCAAAAACTTCTTTTTTAAAGACTTAAAAACTTCTAAAGACGAGGGAAAAAATATTGATACATTAAAATATTACAATCCCTTCATGTGCTGATATATTGCCATTTAAAAACACCATATCAATCTCTTTTACTAATGAAATATTGCTATATGTCATGTTATGCTACGAAATCCCCCGAAAATTCACAAAATTTTGCCATATTTTTATATGTTGATTTATTGACGCGGTATCCATCTATTTTACTAACAAAATCTCACAAGAATTTGCTAAATATCACGCGAGTTTGTAACAGAACGATGAAATTTCACAAGATTTTGAAAGTAAAATAGGTCGATACCGCGTTTTTAAAAAATCAAATTGATATCAGCATATGAAAATATATTTGAGTATATTATTTTTCAAAGTGTCAGAAATGGATAACAAAACTGCTATTTTCAATGACATCTTATTTTTGTCCAGCTTTAACATCGTTATCGATATCGGTTATCAGCTACATGAGTTTTAAAATATCGGCATATCGGATATCGGCCAAAATCACAATATCGTGCATCCCTAGTTCAAAGATATGCAAATGGATCCATCACCTCTCCATCAGGAGAGGTAACATTTTTCTCCTGTTCAATGAGACACTGTTGAATGTTTGAGCTTAAAGCTACAGTGTGTAATAATTACAGGGATATACAGTCAGAAATGTAATATATTATACATAACTATGTTATTTATCATCATCTACGAGCTCAGCCTCTTAACCTTAATATTTGCGTTGCCTTAGAATTTGTTATTTATAATTGCATAGGAGCGGGTCTCGCAGCCATGGAGGCAGACATCTTTGCGCTACGACAGCGCAGAGCCAACAAACTAGTGATTGCGAGATCGCCAAAACGTCACAACGATGTAGAAAAAATAACGGGTATATATATTATCTTAAAGGAGAAGTTCGGTTTTTTACACTTTAAGCCCATTTTCTGTAGTGTCCAGGATGAAATCGAATGATCGACACCAAAAGTTTGACAATTGCTCCTGTCTCTGCTTTTTGGCTCATTTAAAATCACCCCCTGGCTTCTTTAGAATGGCTAGCATAGAGCATGTCCGATAATGTCCTTAAAACAACCTTAAACGTTCTTTTTTTTAAATATGCTACTCACCGTGTCGTCAGCGCTGTTCAATGACGTTCCAAAAAAAGTTTCGTAAAGAAAAAACGTTCCTGTAGTGTTTTATTTAGCATTTTGTAAATCCCATTGAGTTCTGTAGGAATAGTCAATATTCCGCTGCCACCGGAAACGGAAATGGGGCCTGTTTACACAGTTGTAGTCTTTTCGCTTCACTCTGTGAACTCCGACGTCGAGGTGCTAACGTCTCTGTTAAACACTTTAAAAAACTCTGAAAATGGAATACGAAAGGTGGATTCTTGATTCTCGACGTCGGAGTTCACAGAGTGAAGCGAAAAGACTACAACTGTGTAAACAGGCCCCATTTCCGTTTCCGGTGGCAGCGGAATATTGACTATTCCTACAGAACTCAATGGGATTTACAAAATGCTAAATAAAACACTACAGGAACGTTTTTTCTTCACGAAACTTTTTTTGGAACGTCATTGAACAGCGCTGACGACACGGTGAGTAGCATATTTTAAAAAAAGAACGTTTAAGGTTGTTTTAAGGACATTATCGGACATGCTCTATGCTAGCCATTCTAAAGCAGCCAGGGGGGGATTCTGCATGAGCCAAAAAGCAGAGACAGGAGCAATTGTCAAACTTTTGGTGTCGATCATTCGATTTCATCCTGGACACAACAGAAAATGGGCTTAAAGTGTAAAAAACCGAACTTCTACTTTAAGTCTACATGAAATCTATACCCTACACAGACTAATGAAATACTATCTGTAAAATTATCTATGTAAACAAACCTCATCACTTGAGAAGGTAGGTGATGCAGACGTCGTGGAAGACATTTTGTCCCGTAACGCTCGCCGTACTGTTGGGGGGGAGAAGCGGTGGCGGGGAGATGTTCATGTTGCTGCAGTCTGCAGTCTGACCGCTAGATGTCGCTAAAGGTTACACACTGTAGCTTTAAATGGGTACAAGACTTTAATATTAAATTGAAAGTAATATATAATTTGATTTATTCGTTAATAAATCTATATATTCCCCAATTATCTCTCTTCTTAAATGACCATCCCCCCATTCCATCCCCTCTGAGATCTTATCACTGAATGTGTAAACTTCTATTATATATTAAAAGTAATGGCAATAATATTGTCCTTTCAACATTTGACAGGCTGTCCCCTAATGAGTAGCACACAGCCTGACGTCACCAGCAGAGCAGATGATGGTGTTCTGTACAGCATCACGGCCAAGTAGCAAACAACAACGCAATTTGAGAGAATGCGAAAATAAGGAGGGGAGGGAATCTTCGGCAGGTTCCAGGTTCTAAGTTTAACAAATAAAATGTCAGAAATGATCTGGAATGGTGTTGATAGCAAAATCGAGAATTGGCATCCACTGAGCAGAGAATTTATTCATCGCACACTGACTGTAGCACATCGACTGAAACATGGCTCCATACAAGTACAAACCTATAATTCAAATTCATCTGTCCAACAAAACTATCAATTTTAAGGCATCCATGTTTAAGAAATATGAAAACATTAAGAATATGTTTAAAATTTCCCTTTTCATTCATATTTTAATTGTTTTCTCTTCAATGGGCGTGAGTTTAGGGCGATGCGTGCTCCCGCAACAGGGAGGTAAATTTTCACACAACAGAGGAAACCAGGAGGAGAGAATCTAAAGTTTAAAAAATGCATTTTAATTATTCAACATAAGATTATCTTTAAAGAATTGCCAAATGTGATGTTAATGTCTGGCCAATTGTCATTATTGAATTGAATGTTGACATCTGACTGCAAGCAGAATGGCTGTTGTCTGATCAATGGTAAATAGCTTAGTTCAACGGGCCTGTTAAATAGTTTTAACTCATTCAATGCCAGCATGTAACCTTGCTTACTTTAAATTAGCCAATAGAAGCAATACTGATTTTCTGAGAAACAGTCTTATAGAATAAATTATCTAATTAAATATTTGAAATGGTGAGTAAAATTAGTAGATTTTATATAGGCTTATTTCATTTTCTGGGTAATTCCAATGTATTTGAACTTGTAAACAGTTTTTTTTTTCAGAATTTGAAAATTATTTCAGCTGTTTCAATTTAATTGATTGAATTTGAATAAAAAAAAATACTTGACTTGAAAGCATTCAGATATTGATTTGCAATGTTTTGTGAGGTTTTGTTCCAAATCTTAATAGATTCATTGCCAAAAAATTTTCCAAAGTAAAATTAAAGAAAGTGTCCTACCATGACTGATCCAAGTGGGAAATTTGTCCCAAACTATGTAGGGGCAGTGATAGCCATGCCAGTCCAGGGTCTGACTTCAGTTCTACTGTAAGGTGTCTTGGTCAAGGTCTTGATAAGATAGACAGGATCTCTGTCAGAATTCATATTTGGTGGAAGCCTGCTCTTCTCTTAAAGTCGTAGGGAAATCATATTTAAATGTCAAATCATTCTGGCTTAAAAATTAATATAAATGTACTTCATATTAAGTAGACTATATTATATTATAGACTATTTTTTGAAAGTTGTTCTCTCAACTTTCCTAAGACCATTACAGTACTTCCCAATTTTGGAAGTTGAAATTAGCATTGAGTGAAATACTGACTGTTTAATAATCCTTCACAGAGATGGTTTTAATGAACTCTCCCATTGAGTGAACAGAGCCATAGAAGAATTTCCTTACCCCTTCTTCCTGGCACCATCCATGATGTTGCGGACGGCATTTCTGTTGGATTTTGGCGTGTCGGGTCTCTCTGTCTCAGAGGACACTGACAGGTTCTCTGTAGACTTCTTTTCTGCAGCTTACAATGAAAAAGTTCAAATTTTTAAAAACACATTTACTTTCTTTACCAAAACACAGCGCCCAAAACGCTCCCTCCAAAGTAGTCGTTATTGTTATTCTACAGTTTCACAGTGCAATTGCTCAGACATTAGCCACCTGACTTACTGGGTGGGGTGCTTAGGATGGACTGCTTGATTACGTCACTGCTTAGTGCTTTCTGCTCGAAGCGTCTAGACCGTTCTTCTAGGAACCACTCTCCAGTAACCACCTTCAGCTCCCTGTTATCCAAACACACATTTCAAGGCAGTGGATCAGTTGTTGAGAGTTGAGAGCATTTTCTCTTTCAAGATGAAATAAAGATAAATAAATGTTTTGTTTAACTTACCATTTGAAATAATTACATTGTTATATACTATAGGAATTTTTTTGGAGTTTAAAAAGTAAAGATCATTAAAAAAAATGGACCTCCTTCAGATTTTGGACACATTTTGGCGTTTTGGCAAGTACAATACCTTTCATTTTTCCCCTCATCTTAGTTGAATAACTAATACCATGCATTGTACGGCTTCTGTTTTTCTACACTTCAGATCAATCTTCTTAAATGAGGTGTCTAATTTTAGAATCATGTTAGAATCTGCTACACACAATGTCTACTGTATAGCATAAATAAAGAGACTTTATATTTTTGTCCTGACTAAATGGATATTATTAAAAAAAAAAATAGATAAACTGCCAGTTTACAGCTTTTCTTTTTGTTTGAATCCTTGATGTTGAATTAGACATTCTGAGTTTTCCCATGAGGACCCGAAAGATGTGTTTGCACTAAACAGCCTTAATTGACATTTCATTTCGTGCTTCATTTAGTATGCTTTGAAGTAGGGATATGTATCATCACCCTCATAAGATGGAAATTTACACTCTGCTGTTTTCACAAATGATATCTGCCCTCATGAATGCTCATAAAACACTAAAAGCACTAAATAACAAAATTCAAAACCCAGAAGAAATGAACTAATATGATAGAAATTGATGAGTAGTTATTAGATAATATGTATGAGCGTGCATTAAGGTTCCATCAGCTTGTGTAAATGATGTATCAAGTGTTCTAGATATGTCAATAAGTTCTACATTAAACAATGTTTTAAAGGGCTGACTAAGTTGCAAAGAAAATGCAGTACATGGTCCAGCAAAGGTTTGCTTCATGACTGTCCAATCCACGCTCTCTGGTAATTATTTTAAACATTTAGAATAATTAGGTCTGTACAAAAAAAAGTCAAGATATAAAGTATATCTAGTTATTTTTATAAGCATTAAAACCAAATATCCATCCATCCATCATCATAATAATAATTTTGCACTACTAGTCAGTATCCTTAGAAAATGCTTGCGTTTGGTCATTGCAGGTGTAACTGTCAGACTTACACAAAAGCTGTTTTGATTTGTAAGGATTTATTTAAGAGCCAAGCACTAGAGGCCCTCACTGATAAACTGAGGTTGTTAATATAAAGAAGGTCCATTTAGAGTCCATTCTGTTCTCTATTTCTATTCAGCTTCCAGCCGGCACACTTACGAGATCTTGGCACAAACGTTGCATCGCCACCTGCGTGAGCCGGCAGTAGTGGTGCGACATTCACTGCAAACACGTAGCTGGCATTCCTCACAGAGATCACCACGGTCAAAGATCAGGCCTAATGTCTTGAGGCAGCGAGCGCATTGCCGCTCCTCAGAGTCCTGCAGGCGACGGGAACCTTTTCGCTTTATTTCCAGAAGGTCATTTTTTAACTTTCTGCAAAGCAGAGAGAGAAGGAAATAAATGGACATAAAAACATGCAAAGAGACTTAGAAGGCATGGAATCCCTTACCTTATCCTTTTTTCCTCACGTTTCCTCAGCTTCTCATCTTTCTGCAGCACCTTCAGGATAGTTTCCCTTTCATGCTCCAGCAGAAAGGACAAATTTAGATCTTCTACAGCTTTATCCATTTGTTCCTTTAGCCAGAATCAGTTCAGCAAATCAGACAGTGGACAAAGTAGTGAAGAGGTTCTACATGTTCTTCAGCAGGATAAAGACCTACAAACAAACGACTGCTTCATTTGGTCTTGGCATGATCCAACTTGTGATTTGCAAAGATCCCAGTGAAGCTCTAGTATGTGCTCCTGAGGTCCAGAGAGAAGCCTTACGACAAATGAAACCTGACAAGAAAAAACAAAGACATAGCTCATTTACATGAATCTGACATTAATAATTCCATACAAATATCCATGAATTGGAGGTAAAAACCTCTCTGAAGAACAATTAATAAGCCCAACATTTGCACAGTCCTAAAAGCAAGAATTAAAATGAGACATTTGCGTTCAGTATAACAAGAGGAACTGAAAGTAATTGGTAGATATTTGACAGCTCTACAGCAAAACAACCTACCAATTAGTCCTGGAGTACATCAGCCACATTTCTCTGCTTCCATTAGCAAAAGCTCTGCTGCATTTTTCTCCTGAAAGCCACAACCAATTCTTGACTTGTTATCTACACACCTGCATACCAGTCATTATACCGGCGTTTGTTTTTACTGCCGCTGGAGACAACAGTTAGGAAGGAGATGTCGGTAGGTGAACAACCACTATATAGTGTTGGGTAATAAAATACAGTAGGTTAAAGTGAACTGGCAACAATGCAGCTGCCTATTTTCTTCCATCCCAATCCCTCTATATCAGTGAATTCAGCTGTTCCAATCGCTTCTAGGGCTACAGATGCATAAAAGCCAGAAATTAGGCTTGAGGACTGCAGTGAATAACAGCAGAGTACCATAATGCAATGCTGTCTGTGCAATTAGTGACTGCTAAACATTTAACAATTAACGTTTAGTTGTATTATAGCAAATTTTGAATGATGAAAAAGACATAACATGACACTATTACCTTTCCTCCCACTGAAACGCATTTTGAGTTATTGAAAGCCATAATCTTTCGTTAACTAATAAATTTATTTTGTAATTCTTGGTTGCATAGATGGTCATCCTTTTACAACCAGTATCTTTGCTTTTATATAATACCACTTTAAGGTATAAGGAGTAGAAAGAGCGCAGCCACTGAACTATCAACTCTATGATGAATGTGTTCAGTGTGGAAGCAGCAGTCATGATTACAGTGGTTCCACTGGGAGCGATGCAAAGCAGTAAAAATGTCCCTCCGTGTTGTAGTGGGGGAATAGTGAGTGGCTTTGATTACTCCTGATGTCTGAGAAATAATGTGGTTTGGATCATAAAACAAATCACCAATATTGTTCATTGAGCTGCAGTCCCCGATTTAAAAAACAGATGGGACAAATTTCAAACAAGAAATCTTAACAAATCACCTTCTCCAAACCATCAGTGGTTCTTGAAAGCAAGAGAGTTATGTGAGCAACAGAGCATTTATGGAAAGAAATCCTGCCAGAGCCTGAGTAATTGAAGTAGAAGAATACAAATTTAAAGAAGAAGAAGTATCAGCAGAAGCCTCCTCCACTCCTCATCCATCCTTTTTCTTCCCTCGCCTCTTCCCTTTACTTTACATGAATTAGCACTAATGAACCTGCATCATCAAAACTTCATTTGCAGCCAATAGCATATCATGAAATCAATGATTATGAGCTTTTTAAGCTGCTCTGCACCTAATGAAGACATTTCTCTTTTGAAGCTTGAGATGTTCACCGAATGAAGACAAGAAAGATTTAAGAATTCGGCAGATCTGAATTTCATTACGGTTCTCAATACAGACATCAGCTATTGATAGACTAACCTCAGCCACAGTGGTACTTAAACCCTACCACCATTCAAAGCAATTTATATTTGGGTTATTTCAGCAAGCAGACATGACAAGCTTGACTACTTCATACCCATTTTGACATAAGCACTAAATTATACATTTCAGGCAGGAAAACGTTGCTTGAATTAAATGGCGTTATTTAGACTTCTCAGACCTTGTACCAGAATAACATTCTGCAGCTGTGAACTCATCCAGAATGGTTGTGTAAGACTATGAATATTGAAAATGATGCCAAAAAGCAGAAGGTAACTCTAAGTGGGTTAACAAAGTATTTATAAGTGGCTGCAGGCCAGAGATGTTAATGAAAATGGCAGGTAACTGGAACAGTGAGAGGAGGACACTATTAGAGACAAATTACTCTTGGATTGAAAAGATGGATTTGTAATAGAAAACAAATTAAACCAGTTTAATTTTGAGATTAAAAACCAGTTCAGAAGATTATGCACTGTTTATCTTACAAAGATCTTCTTTTTTTTTTTACTAAAACATTTTTATTTGGCTCTAAGGATTGAGAATATTTGTAAAACAAAGCCACTGAAGTGATCTAGACTTATGGGTGCATCAGCTTATCGGTCGGCCGATTTATTGGCCTTGAT